CCCCGCCCCGCGGTGACGCACGTTTCCTCCCGCAGCGCCACCCGCGTCCCCGCAGTGCCACCATGCCCTCGCAGCTCGAGCACGCCATGGAGACGTTCATGTTCACCTTCCACAAGTACGCGGGTGACAAAAACTACCTGGCCAAGGACGACCTGCGCGCGCTCATGGACAAGGAGTTCCCCGGCTTCCTGGAGGTGAGGCCGCGTTCCCGGCGCCGGAGCCTCCTCTTTCCCCCCATGGCCCCATTGCCACTTTGTGTCCCCGCAGAACCAGAAGGACCCCATGGCGCTGGACAAGATCATGAAGGACCTGGACCAGTGTCGCGACGGGCGCGTCGGCTTCCAGGGCTTCTTCTCGCTGCTGGCCGGGCTCACCATCGCGTGCAACGACTACTTCGTGCTGCACATGAAGCAGAAGGGCAAGAAGTGAGGGGGGGCCCGGCCGCGGCCCCCCCGCCGCCCTCGCTGCTTGCTCCAATAAAGGCGCCTCCGCCGCGCGCGGGGGGTGTTTTCTATGGAGCGGGGTGTCTCTGCTTGCAGAGGGGGTGCGGGAACGCCTGTTGGGAGCGGGTGTGCGCGCGGGTGTGCGCTGGGTTGCACACTTCAGCACGCAGGAGCGGGTGCGCGCCAGGGCCAGGCGCGCACAGCCGGGGGTGAGCACACGTTTGCACGCGCGTTTGCACACGCAAGCGCCGGCGCACTTGTGCACGTGTGTGCCCACGCTGGCATGTGCACGCACCGCAAGGATGTGCATGCGGGCAATGGCTCACGTGCTCGCACACTGTGCACACACGTGTGCAAACGCACACGCGTGTGCATGCATCCAGCGCGCGCTGCGTGCTCGTGTGCGTGCTCACGTTCACAGCCGCGTGCACGCACACGGGTACGCACACTCGCATGTGCACGCTTGGATGCACACACTCAAGTGTGCACTCAGATGCACACACTCAAATGTGCACTCGGACGTGCACTTAGATGCACACTCATCTGTCACTCGGATGCACATACTCGGATGTGCACTCAGATGCGCACACGGCTGTCACTCGAGTGCACACTTGGATGGGCACTCAGATACACACACTCAGGTACACACACTCAGATGCACACTCATCTGTCACTCAGATGCACACACTCAGATGCACATTTGGGTGGATGTGCACTCAGATGGGCACTTGGATACGCACGTTCGGATACGCACACTCAGATGCGCACTAGGATGCACACTCATCTGTCAGTTGGATGTGCACTCAGATGCGCACACTCGGCTGTCACTCGGAAGCACACATTTGGCTGTCACTTGGATGCACGCACTCAAACACGTATGCTCGGATGCACACACTCGCATGCACACTCATATACACACTCTCGCCTGTCACTTGGATGCACACTCACATGCACACACTCAGCTGTCACTAGGATGTGCCCACTTGGATACGCACCCGGCTGTGCACACTCATCTGTCACTTGGATGCACACTTACATGCACACTCGTCTGTCACTTGGATGCACACTCGGATGTGCACACTCATCTGTCACTCAGATGCGCACTCGAATGTGCACACTTATCTCACTTGGATGTGCACGCTCGGATGCACCCTTGGATGCACGCTGGGATGTGCACTCGGCTGTGCACACTCATCTGTCACTCGGACACAAAGTCCGAGTCACACTCACATGCACAGTTATCTCACTCGGATGCGCACGCTCAGATGCACACTTGGATGCACACTCGGATGCACACATGGATATGCACACTCAGATACACACTCAGGTGCACACTCACACACACACTCATCTGTCACTCGGATGCACACTCGGATATGCACACTCATCCGTCACTCAGATGCGCACTTGGATGTGCACACTTATCTCACTTGGATGCGCACACTCGGATGCACACTTGGATGCACACTTGGATACGCACACTTGGATGCACACTCAGGTGCACACTCACACTCACACTCATCTGTCACTCGGATGCGCCCCCGTGTGCCCCTGCCCCCCCTTCCGCGCATGCGCCTGCGAGGCGC